GTTCAAGCAATTCTTCCACTTCAGCCTCCCAAGTAGCTGGGACTACAGGCGTGTGTCACCATGCCCAGCTAATTTTTGTATTTTTAGTACAGACGGGGTTTCACCATGTTGGCCAGGCTGGTCTTGAACTCTAGACCTTGTGATCCACCTGCCTCGGCCTCCCAAAGTGCTAGGATTCCAGGTGTGAGCCACTGTGCCCAGCCGATGCTTCATTAAAATTGCATCTTCTGTAGCTGAGAACCTGATAAACTATGGCAGTAAACACTGAGATTTTTCATTGCATTCAGGTTAGAAAGTCACTAAGTCAAAAGTTAAATGGAAATTTAAATAGCTTAATTCAAGTACAAAATTTTTGGATGGACTCCAACTGCAAATTTTCCTCTGCAACTTTCCTCTGAAAGTTATTCCACGTGCACTGGATTGGTGTCTTTCGTATCTGTCAATTGCTGAGGCAATGAGTTTCTGCCAACAAAAGAAAAGTCAGGGCCAGCCGAGGTGGCTCACGCCTGTAATCCTAGCACTTAAGGAGGTTGAGGCAGGCGGACTGCCTGAGGTCAAGATATCAAGACCAGCCTGGGAAACATGGTGAAACCCCATCTCTACTAAAATACAAAAGAAATTAGCTGGGTGTGGTGGCGTGCACCTGTAGTCACAGCTACTTGGGAGGCTGAGGCAGGAGAAATGCTTGAACCTGGGAGGCAGAGGTTACAGTAAGCTGAGATCACACCACTGCACTTCAGCCTGGGCGACAGAGTGAGACTCTGTCTCTACCAAAAAAAAATAAATAAATAAAAGAACTCAGTACGAACAAGTACTGCTGGGCAAGGACAAACCTGGGCTGCTGGTTTTCACTGCTGAAGAGTAATTACTGCAGGGAGCCTAGTGTGGCCCTAACTTGCTGGGCAGGGACTCGTGGTCAGCGGAGGTGCTGAAGCTGGGTGTCTGTCTACAGGGCAGAGTGTAACTAGGAGCTAGGTGAGGGAGCAAGGTCAGAGCGGCCCCCTGCGGTGCCCTTTCACGCTCAGGTAGGAGGCAGGCAAGGTCCCCTCTGGGCATCTTCCCTGCCAAGTAAGTGGTTTGGGAGGCAGCCCTGCTCCCCTGGGGAAAATTCATGTACAGGTGACTCAAATGCAGTTGTTTATAGGTCCTAGGTTTAATTCCCTCAAGTACTGCATTCATAGCCCATCGTAGGAACACAAGTGTTTTAACTCTGTGAAGGTTACTTAAGAACGCTTAGAATAAGTGACAGCTGACATTCCAAGTGAGGTTCCAGTTCCTTAAGAAGCTCCTGGAAGTTTCTGACAGGATTTTACCTGGCTAGCAGCCACACCTTCTTCTCCCACCCCTGGGCTGGTCCTCAGTTGCTCTGTCACTCCTCCTCCACTCACCCCATAAAAGCCAGAGTGTCCCCCAGGCCACGTTCCTGGGGTGTGGTAAGAGATACCGGTTTTCCTCCCCATTCCTGGCTCCTGACGGCCCTGGTTAGTCTTCTGTTAGAATGCCAGGTGCCTGAGCCTCAGGGGCGCTGGGGCCCCACCTTCTCCTGCCCTCCTTCTACTCCATCATCCTCCCTCCCCCTTGCTGACAGTGGGTCTTAAGACCCTCCCAGGAGAGGGTCCCCACTAGATCCTGGGGGGAAAAATGTTGATATCATGAAGCTTCCATAAAACCCAAGAGGACAGGGTTCGGTGAGCTTCCCGGCAGCTGAACACGGGAGCTTCCATGCCCCTTTCCCCATACCTTGCCCTATGTCTCTTAATCTGTAACCTTTCCAGTGTCCTTCATAATAAACCCATAACATAAGGGTTTCCCGGAACTCTGTCAGTTGCTCCAGCAAATTAATCAAATCCAAACAGGAGGCCATGGAAATCCTAACCTGAAGCTGGTGAGTTAGAAGTTCCAGAGGCCCGGACCTGCCACGGAGCCCTCAACCTGTGGGATCTGACACTATCTCCAGGTAGGTGGGGTCAGAACACAATGCGGGGACACCTACTTGGTGTCCGCTGCTCGGTGTATGGGGAAAACTCCTACACGTTAGATCACAGAAGGCTTCTCCTGTGTTGATTGTTGTGGTGAGAGCAGAGGAAGCATGTGGATGGAGAGTTTTTCCCTGTGCAGTCCCCAAGTGATAGACAGGATGAACTCTCATGGCTTCAGAAGTCCCTGGCACACCACTGGCCTCTGTACCCAGACCAGTTCTTCACCTTTCAACACTAGGACTTCTTCATTTGAACATCTCAAACTTAACATACCCCAAATAGAAGTAATCACCTCTCCTCCAGACCTGCTTCTTTGCCTCCTCCCTCGAATGGCATCCCCGCACCGTCCTCTCAGAGCCATCCTCCCAGAACACAAGCCAGCAAACCAGGAGTCACCCTCACTTCCTTCTATGTCCATGGACAATTAGTCACCAAGACCTCTGGATTCTCCTCCTGCTCTCCCTCGTCTGTCCCCTTCTACATACACACGCTGCGCTCAGTTCTGCCACCTCCTTGCCTCTAGTCTTGGGTGTACTCCTGTCTCCAGCATCCTCTCTGATGCAGGTCGGGGCCATCACTCGAAGACACAGATCTGACCATGCTACTCTCCCCCAGTGGCTTCCCTCTGTCCTCAGGATGGTGCCCAAATGCCTCTGCATGATCTAAAAGATTGTCTGCATGATCTACAAGGTCACTACAAAGTAACCTGTCCACTGCTCAACTCTCTCTGCCCGCTGCCCCTTTACACTCCACCTTCTCGTTCTCTTCAAACTTCCCCCACCCCTCTTCTCTGGGCAACCGGACTGCCCTGATGGCCCAAGCCTAGGCTGGCTGACTCCTAGCAAATCCCTTGCCAGTTTTTACTTAGCCCTGCCTGTCAGGTTTAGGTACTGTGCTGGTTGGCTTGCCACACCTTCAAGTGGTAAACAGGTACTGCGTTTCATCCACAACCATATCCCTCCCCAGCACAGGCCTGACACAAAACAGATACCCAAAAACATTTACTGGAGAAGCGGATAATCCTGCATAAATGCTGCTGATGAATCTAGCTCCCTGCAGGTCAAAGCATTTCACGGATCCAAATAATTCTCTTACCCAATTAAGATGGCTGGAAAGGCCAGGTGCGGTGGCCCACACCTGTAATCCCAGCACTTTGGGAGGCCAAGGTGGGTGAATTGCTTGAGGTCAGGAGTTCAAGATCAGCCTGGCCAACGTGGTAAAAACCCGTCTCTATTAAAAATACAAAAATTAGCCGGGCGCCTGTAATCCCAGCTACTCCGGAGGCTCAGGCAGAGGAATCACCTCAACCCAGGCGGCAGAGGTTGCAGTGAGCCAAGATCATGCCATTGCACTTCAGTCTGGGCGACAACAGTGAAACTCTATCTTCAAAAAAAAGAAAAGATGGTTGGAAAGACCTGGATTAAAACACACACACACACACACACACGCACACACACACTCCCCAGTGGTGCTGCAGCACTGACAGCACATTTCTTCTAGAGCTAAAACAGCCGATTTTATAAATATCATGTAAGTATTCGAATAATCTGAATCCTACCTGGAAATGATATGAAGTTTAACTGTAACAGGAACTGAAAAGATGTGCCCAGTAACCTTTGGCCAGGACTGTTTGCCAAAAAATACTTCTTGTTTGCCCAGAACTGGCTTGGGTGTCATCGTTAGGTTAAGTTATGAAATGGCAGATTATGAAATGGCTTCGTTTCACTTGGTGGGGGGGGAGCACAGATAAAGAAATTTTACTTATACCTTCTCAAGCTTAGCTACTTCTTGCATGAATTAGCTACTATTTTTTAGCATCGCAGTTTACTCTTAAATGAAAAACAAACAGCAACTCAGCTCAGGTATGCAGGTATGAGGCTACAGTTCACCTCTCCTTCAGGTTTCAACTTGATGGAATTTATAGATGGTCTTTTTCCCTTCCTCATCACTGCCACTGAAAAGCTGCTGCCTAAAATTCAATTACCAACTAGTCTACCTGCATGCTATGCTTTTTTTCCACCACTGTACTTCAATAAAGCGGTCACTGCAAGCAGAAACATAAAAGTGTGTTGGATATAGATCGTCTGCTCCTGCTGTTTAATTTCACACAAAATTTTTTAACTTTTTAAAAGCCATGGAAACATTCTAAATAAGTTGCTCATCTCTAACGGGGACAAATTCTCCTTACACAAAGCTCAGGCACATTCAAAGGGAGCGAGGCCTGAGATGCCAATGCTACACTACCTTTCTAAAAGTGCCTGAGCTCTGGGGTGCTCGAGGACCGACAGCCAAGAACCACAGCATTTACACTTTGCCAGGAAAGGAAACACCTCCATCAAAGGGCCAAGAACCAAACGCTAAGCGTTTAACGTCCCAACAACGTGAAGACTTCCTGCAACTCGAAATCCTCCATGGAAACTCTGTCGAATCCTCACCAAGTTAACGATGACTTGTTTCTACAGTCTACCGATTTCAGGAAACTTAACGTATAGCTAGCCGCCTTAAAGCGTTTTTAAAAGCATCCACTACGAGACGCTACTTCTTCGGCGCCAAGACCCAAGCGCTACCGTGGATGACCCCATTCCTGGCCATGGCGACCCTAGGGAGCGGGTCCTGGGATCCTGCTGGAGGGCGGCCACGGGCCAGCTTCCTCTCTGATGACTGGGGGAGGCCAGGCTGCCTGCAAGGGCGGGCAAGGGCCCTTTCCGCGCTTACCAGGGTGAGGGCCACCTCCAGCATGGGGGCGAGGGCCAGGGTGCCGTGGAAGAGGGGGATGCAGTCCACGAAGAGGGTGTGGTGCGCGCCCGGGCCGCCCAGGGGGAGGTGCTCCTTACGCGGCTTCTGCTTCTCCGCCACCAGCAGCCCGTTGACGGCGCAGTGCGGGTACTTGGCGCCGTGCAGCACCATTTTGCAGTAGGCCTGGGTCGTCAGCTTCACCCCGGGCATGCTGACCCGGGAGGGCCCCGGAGGCCCCTGGGCACGCGGCTGAGGCCTGGACCCGCTGCCCGGCCGCGCGGTGCCTCAGCAGAGAAGCGGGACGAGGCGGCGACAACCGATGGCGCGGCCGCGGGCTGGTGGGGGCCCCTCAGTCCCGGCCAAGAAGCCCGGCCCCGCTCGGGCCTCGGCTCCTCGACAAGCGACTCGCGCCCCTGGGAAGCCGCAGCCTCGGACCACCCTTGCGCTTCTCGCCCGGCGCCGCCGGAAAGCGGCGTCTCCAGTGCCTGCCGGAAAGCAACCCGGCCCGGCATTTTACGACGTTCGCGGCGCTCCCCCTCTTTCCGCTCCACTGAAACCTCCGCGCGGCCGGGTGCGGGCGGAGTCTTCCTCGATCCCGTGGTGCTCCGCGGCGCGGCCTGGCTCTCTTCCGGTCGCGGGACACCGGGAGTAGAGGGCAGTCGCGGCGGGCAGCGACGGCAGGTGAGGCGGTGGGTGATCGGTGCCGCGCCGCCAGGCCGGGCCGGGTCGGGGGCCAGGAGCCATCGCGTCTGCACGTCTGCAGCCCGGCCGCCCGGTGCGGGCAGGAGGCACGGGATGGGCTCCGAGCCGGGTGACATTGAGGCCGGCCCGCGGGGGCTCTAGGCTCTGGGGGCCGCTGCGCCGCGGCCTTTGGGCCGCCACGAAGCGCCCGGTCCGGCTTCCCCGGCCGCGCCGCGTTTGCGAGCTGACCTCGGGCTCTGACCTTGGAGCGCCCGCTGGCCGAGGGCGCCGGCTGCGGGGAGGCGGACCCGCGTTCTGTGCCTGCAGCCTCCGCCCGTGCTCCTTCAAACGGTCCCTGCATCCTCCCCCGGGTTTTGCGGGGCTCCCGGGCGGCGCTAGGCTTTCCAGCCTGGAAGGTGCCAGCTGTTTGCCCACGCCAGGGCTAGGCCCGAGGAGAGAACCTGGACGCGAGCGTTCAGCCCTGACGTCATGCTTGTTTATTCTGCCCCAAGGATGGTATTTTCCCAAATCACTCCCCAGCCCTCCGAAGGGTCGAATTAAAAGGGGCCGTGTAAGGTAGATGGGCCTGAATCGAGGAGGGCCCTGGAGAGGCGGGGGTCAACTAGGTTATCCGCTCTTTTCAGGGATGGAAGTAGACCTGGGTGTGCTGGCAGCCTTCTCCAATTTCCCCTTCTAGTCCGTACATACGGTATTAGGTTTTAAATAAATACTCCATTGAATGTGATGTGTGTCACCGTCCCTGTGAGCTGTTACCTCCTCCCACCAACCCCTGAAAAATGGAGCTTGTCACGGCAGTACAGTGCTTTGATGCTCTCTAGCTTTTTCAGTCACCTTGTTAACATTTTTTCTCCTTTTTTTTTTTGAGACAGTGTGGCTCTTGTCGCCCAAGCTGGAGTGCAATGGCATGGTCTCGGCTCACTGTCACCTCCACCTGCCGGGTTCAAGCGATTTTCTCAGCCTCCCAAGTAGCTGGGATTACAGGTGCCCACCACCATGCTCAGCTAATTTTTGTATTTTTAGTAGAGATGGGTTTTCACCATGTTGCCCAGGCTAGTCTCGAACTCCTGACCTCAGGTGATCCGTGCCTTGGCCTCCCAAAGTGCTGGGATGACAGGTGTGAGCCACCGGGCCTGGCCTCTCCTCCCTTTTTTTTTTTTTTTTTTTTTTTTTGGGTCTTGAGACAGTCCTGCTGTGACGCCCAGGCTGGAGTGCAGTGGCACAATCTCAGCTCACTGCAACCTCCGCCTCCTGGGCTCAAGCAATTCTCCTGCCTTAGCCTCCCGAGTAGCTGGGATTATAGGTATGCACCATTATGCCTAGCTGATTTTTTTATTTTATTTTTTTTTATTTTTATTTATTTATTTTTTTGAGACGGAGTTTCGCTCTTGTTACCCAGGCTGGAGTGCAATGGCGCGATCTCGGCTCACCGCAACCTCCGCCTCCTGGGTTCAGGCAATTCTCCTGCCTCAGCCTCCTGAGTAGCTGGAATTACAGGCACGAGCCACCATGCCCAGCTAATTTTTTTGTATTTTTAGTAGAGACGGGGTTTCACCATGTTGACCAGGATGGTCTCGATCTCTCGACCTCGTGATCCACCCGCCTCGGCCTCCCAAAGTGCTGGGATTACAGGCTTGAGCCACCGCGCCCGGCCTGATTTTTGTATTTTTAGTAGAGGCGGGGCCTCACCATGCTGGTCAGGCTGCTCTCAAACTCCTTACCTCGGGTGATCCTCTTGCCTCTGCCTGCCAAAGTACTGGGATTACAGGTGTGAGCCACCACACCCAGCCTCCTTGTTTTTTTAAGAAGACCATGTCGTGTTAATTGCCCGAAGCACCTATATGTTATGGCAGTTAATTTGTAATGAAGCTCCTTAAAAGCATGCCAGCTACTAAGAAAAACCTCATCCTAGGTTATTTTGTGCTGAGTCAGTAATAAAGAATGGATCATTTGTGTTGGGGAGAAGCAAACGAAAGAATTTAGGTCCAAAATGCTCTGGGGCAAAAAAGAAGACTCATTCCTTGCTGTTTGCCATTATTCACAGAGAAGGTGTACATTTTTTCTTTCAGAATGTTGGCTACCAGGGTATTTAGCCTAGTTGGCAAGCGAGCAATTTCCACCTCGGCGTGTGTACGGGCACACGGTAAGTGTGACCTTTCTCACTTTTAAATAGGCTGAGCTAATTTCATTTTGCTCCTGCTGTGTGTAAGGCCCTGTGCTGGAGTTTTAAAGACCTTAATTCTGCTCTTGGGGGTCTTCAACAGAGGTACAGATACTCTCACAGGCTTGGTTCTAGGTGAAGGAATGTGTATGAATCAGACTGAATCTCTTCTGGATCTCTGGTTATACTGCTGTGTCCCCCCATTATCCTTCTCTTCCTTTCCACTTTTCTAAGCTTCAAAATCTACCCCTTTCAAAAGATCTTCTGCACCAGAACTGACTTTAATGACCTCCCTCCCCACCTCACCCCCACAACTTCCAGCCATTTGCATCACATCTGTTTATAGCGGCAATGGAAACGAAAGAGCCTGGCCTTAGCCTGAGCTGGGTTTTCATCTCATTTCTATCAAGGACTGAAGCTTGGGAATCTGTGTCCTCACCTGAAGTACATGTAGAGCTTAGTTCTGTGTCTGGCATACAGCACATTTAGTTTTGCATGTATCTGACATCTATCTACTTTGTACGGGGCACTGTTAGGCACAGAGAATGAAAAGAATATGAAATACACACTCTTTCCATGAGGCCGTTTGCAACCTGAGGAGGAGCAGTAAAGAGATGATTCTGGGTAGAAGCATTTAGCCCGATGCGGAGTTCAGGGAGGGCTTCTGGCGGAGAATCCCCATGGTCTTTTCATTGCTTCAGTAAACTCTATGCCCTGCCTGGTTAGAGCTGGTCTTGCCTGCCTTTCCAATCTCATTACTTCATAATGTACTCAAAAACCAAAAATTGCCATCAGAACTGCCCCTCCCCACCTGCTCCCCACCCCAGCCCCCGGTTCTTATTCCATTCCTCCAGCAGAGCTCTGAGCTGTGGACCATCGCTCCTGTCCAGTCGTTCACCCTCAATACAAATGTGCTTTTAGAACAGCCTCTCCTGACCACCCTTTCTCAGGAAGCTCCCTGTCACCTCACCTTGCTGGATGCCTCCTGAATGCGTGTCTATTTGAGTTTCGCTGTCTCAGCCTCCTAGAGTGTAAGCCTTTTGAGGCCAGGGACCTTGCTGTCTTACTCGTTGCTGTATCTCTAGCACCTAGGAGGCAGGTGAAGACGAACTGCAGGCTCTTAGACAAGTCTTGCCTATTACATACGTAAGTCATACATGAATAATACACGAATCTGTTCTCAGCAGAAGATATTAAAGCAGTCTGGAATACCACCAGCCATCACTGAAGTCCGTTGGGATATTTGCGTGGTGACGAATCTGAGTGAGGGGCGCCCAGATGTACCAGATCTCCCCAGCGGCGGCTCAGCAGAAACCCTTCCATGTGGAAGCAGCAACAGACATTCATTAGAATCTGGAGTCTTGTTTTTCTCTATTTTTAAAAGAAATGTTTGGTATATTAACCATTGCCTTTCCCTTCATTCCTTGGGGGACCAGGCCTGAAGCTCTGAAGAACCCCTGAAACCAGGAATTGGCTATTCTTATTCTGCAAGATGCAATTTTAAGGTTTGCCTGCTTCAAGGTTTTGAGGGTTTACATCATTACAACAGCATTTCTTCCCTCAGTCTTCCTGTCATGGCATTTACGACAGCTTTATGAGATGTACTTCATGTAACAGTCACCTATTTAAAGTGTATGCTTCAGTGGTTTTTAGTATATTCATTGAGTTCTGTCATTAGTACCACAATGAATGTTTGATTCTAGAACATTCTCTTCACCCATATTTACATCTATTTTTAATAACTCTTGTGTAAACTGAGTGTTTTAAATTTTAGAAACTTTTGGGGGTGCTAAACTTGATAAAAATATTCAGTATACAACTGTTCTTTTTAGTTTACACATCACTTCATAGAATCAGGGCTTTAGGCCGGGCGCGGTGGCTCAAGCCTGTAATCCCAGCACTTTGGGAGGCTGAGGCGGGTGGATCACGAGGTCAAGAGATCGAGACCATCCTGGTCAACATGGTGAAACCCCGTCTCTACTAAAAAATCCAAAAAAAATTAGCTGGGCATGGTGGCGCGTGCCTGTAATCCCAGCTACTCAGGAGGCTGAGGCAGGAGAATTGCCTGAACCCAGGAGGCGGAGGTTGTGGTGAGCCGAGATCGTGCCATTGCACTCCAGCCTGGGTAACAATCGAAACTCCGTCTCAAAAAAAAAAAAAAAAAAAAAAAAAAAGAATCAGGGCTTTAAAATTAGAAAGTAATTCTGGCCATTTCCACCTCATGTCCCTTAAATCCCACCTCATTTTTAAGATGAGGTCACGTATAAGTTTGTAAGTACCCTGGTCATTTGCATGGCTAAGATAAACATCTAGAGAACTCTATATGTGACTTTGCTTGAAGCTTAATGTGATACTATGAAGATGATTTGGGAGATGGGAATCACTGGGACTGAGCTAATGGAGGGGAAGCATTGCCGCAGGGCATAAGGCCTCCAGATCAGGATCTAACAGAGTTCTTGCAGGTATAGGACAGAAGTGACAAACAGGTTTTAACAGGGGAAGACTTTCACTACAACCAGGATACTCCTTCGCTGTCTGATTTCTGAACTTTCCTTGTGGTACCTGCTGGTTGGAAGGCACTAAAATCACAAGCAGATAGAGCAGAAATCCTCACGAAGTTCTCCCTGCCTCCTATGTGTGACAGTTTGGGGCTGGCTTTGTCAGTGTGTGTGTGAGTATGTGTGCATGATTTCCATGAGGAGGCATACAGCATTGTCCTCATTCTGTGGCTTCTGAGTGCATGCTGCCGTTGCATTCGGGCTCTGGGTCTGCCTCGTCCCGTGGACCTTGCCTCTTAGTTCCTGCCATCCACACGTTGCCAGTGCCCTCCTGCTCTCTTCTTTCTCCAGAGTACGTTTTTTAAAACATGTGCTTTGCACATTATGTTTATTGTTTGTTTGCCACTCTTAGAATGTTAAGTGCCACTGGGCAGGAATGTTTGATTTGTTCACAGATGAGCCCAGATACCTAGAGCCCTGCCTTGCCTGTAGAGGGTGCTTGGTAAATACTCTTTGAATGAGTAGCTCCATGATCCTCGGTTCACAGAGCTAGCACGATTCCTCACTCAGTTCTGGTTGGACCCAGGTTTTCCCTGAGCAGTGCTGTTGTGGTTATCTTTTCACGTGTCTTTGTTTCTGAACTTGAAACGTTTTGAGTGTTTTCCTGTTTTTGTTCTTCCTCGTAGTTTGAGTCCCGTGCAGTTGGGCCTTCATTTTGTCCAGTCCTCTGTTCAGGGCGGGGGATAACTGTTAACATAGGAAGAGCTGCCCCCGGCCACCTTGGCCCCAGGGTTCATTAGCAGTTGCCTCTGGTGGGTTTTTGTTTACAGTGATGAGAAATGCTTCTGTGCACCCTCCAACACAGTCCTGCACCTGTTTGAAACAGTGGCTGTGACCCCGAGATGACTGAGGGTTTCAGGGTGTGCACACGTGTGTTTGTTTCGGTTTTGTATCACCTTGTTTGTGACTCTCAACTTACACGGATTCAAAGATTTATCCAATGTGTTTTTCAGGAAGTGTTGTGAAGAGCGAAGACTATGCGCGCCCAAGTTATGTGGATCGGCGTGACTATCCCTTGCCTGACGTGGCCCATGTCAGGCACCTGTCAGCCAGCCAGAAGGCCTTGAAGGAGAAGGAGAAGGCCTCCTGGAGCAGCCTCTCCATGGATGAGAAAGTCGAGTGTGGGTATTGAAGGGACTCACAGGCGAGCCCAGCAGCTCCCGCAAGTGTGTGTGTGCGAGAGCCTCTGCTCACTTCTGGGCTGACTGTCCAGAGAGCAGTCTTGCACGGTGGGGCCGCTCTGCCGGGTTTCTGGGTCACTGTCTCAGGGCCCCAGTTTGTGTGCTCTGCCAGCTGACTTCTTTTGCTTGGCCCCCTTCGCTGTGCTGGATGGATTTAGCCTCTCGGCATATCTGCTGGGTAGGACGTTGTTTACTGGAAATTATTGAAAGAAACTCAGTAAAATGCTTACTGTTCGGTATGAGAGGGGCGTGAAAATAACGAGATTAAATAGGCCCTAACACTGTCACTCTAATAATTTCGTAGTTTTAATTTCCACCTAAAGCAGACTCCACGCATTCTCTTCCCTCCTCTGCCCGTCACATGCCTGCACAGCACATGTGTGACGCACGCATGTGAACGTGACGTGGCCCCAGCTGCTGTGTCCTTCACCTCTGGGTTTCTCCTTCACAAGTGTGCTCTTGGGGAGAAGTGGTTGAACCTTGCAGAGGAGGGAGCTGCTGACCCATTTCTTGGCGCCTGTCAATGGCTGTCCTCTTTGCCTCCAGTGTATCGCATTCAGTTTAAGGAGAGCTTTGCTGAGATGAACAGGGGCTCCAACGAGTGGAAGACGGTTGTGGGTGCGGCCATGTTCTTCATCGGCTTCACAGCGATTCTTGTCATCCTGGAGAAGCGCTATGGTGAGTAGAGACGTTGGAAAGCATGGGGCGCCTGGACTCGGCCTCCAGCCTGCAGTACCCAATGGGGGGCTGTGGGGGGACCTCCCACCTTGAGGCCATGAGATAGGGACACCATTCCAGAGCTCATCTCAGGACCGGTTTCCAGGCCTTGGCGACCTGCAGAATCGAAGTCATGGGGTTAGTTGATAAGCCAGCATCTGATTATTCATGGTCGGGCAGACTTGTTTCGTGGTGAAATACTTTAACCGCTTTGTACAGCATACCACATTTTCAGTTGCGGTTATACACTCACCAGTCATTTATCAAAAGATGACTTTGTGAAGGTTCGAGTAAGAAGGGGATTCTGTCATTTAATGACATGTCAACTGTTGTGAGGACCACATCTCATCAGCTGGAATTTGGGGCTTCCAACCTGATAGTTTCTGTTTAGGCATTGCTGGGTTGCGCACTCACTCTAACAGCTCTTCCTGGTTCTTTCTGTTCAGGCGGAACAGATGTTTTTGTATTCTGAATAGGTATATTGTACTTTTGGTTTGAATGCGGACGTGGGTTAGTAACAGACCTGAGTCTGATCTCCCAGGTGACCATGGGCTGTTCGTTAGACCTTGTTGTCCATAGCCTTTAGAGAGGACCTTCTGCTTTTAGCTTACTCCATTGCTAACTTTTTACAAACAGAGGGATAATTTTAAATCCCCGTGGTTGTCAGTGGTCAGAAATAGAAAACCGTGTGGATGAGCGGACGTTGAGTGGCTGCAGTGTCGGGAGGATTTCACCTCGAAGGGACTGGCTTAGAAACAAGCCGCTGGGACAGTCTTGCCCATAACCCCGTCTCGCCCTGTAGTGTACGGCCCCCTCCCGCACACCTTTGACAAAGAGTGGGTGGCCATGCAGACCAAGAGGATGCTGGACCTGAAGATGAACCCCATCGACGGCCTCGCCTCCAAGTGGGACTACGAGAAGAAGGAGTGGAAGAAGTGAGAGATGCTGTCCTGTGCCGAGCCAGGCTGTCACCTCCACGCGGCCCCATGCCTCTACTGGAAACCTGTCATGCCAAACAGTACCACTGCTAATAAATGACCAGTTTACCTGAAACCCTTGTCATCGGGTCTTTCATGCCGGCATGAAAGCTAGGGAAAGCAGTAGGTTTCTGCCAGGGGTCTGCAGTAAATGTATTTTGGGTACGAATGAAATGGCAAAAATCAAGTGTCTTAAATTGCATAAGGAGACATACACAAACTGAAAATACAGAATCCCTTGATGTGGGGAATTTGAGGTTTTTGGCAAGAGATCTTTATATGAGTAAAATCCCATGATAGTAGGCACACCAGCGGAAGTTACCGCACACCGGCGGAAGTTCCCACACACCAATTTTTTTTTTTTTTTTTTTTTTTTTTGGTGAGGAGTCTCCCTTTTGTGGCGCAGGCCGGAGTGCAGTGGTGCAGTCTTGGTTCACTGCAGCCTCCACCTCCCCAGTTCAAGTGATTCTCCTGCCTCAGCCTCCTGAGTAGCTGGGATTACAGGTGGCCACCACCATGCCCAATTAATTTTTGTATTTTTTAGTAGAGACTGGGTTTTGCCATGTTGGCCCGGCTGGTCTTGAACTCCTGACCTCAGGTGACCCGCCTGCCTCGGCCTCTCCAAGTTCTAGGATTAGAGGCGTGAGCCACTGCGCCCCGCGTATGAACCACTTTTCTTCTGGGGCTGTCCCTCCCTCCCTGCAGCTGACACGTTGGTTGGGGTGGACAGCCCCAATCTGAGCTCTGACAGAGTTGTGTGTGCTGGCCCCATCTGCTGTGGCCTGTCTGTAGCCTACTTGGCTCCCTTGCTACTCAGCTCTTTGATCTAAAATGTAGTCACAAAGCCAGTGTCAAATAAGGCGGTCTTAGCAGCATCCTCCTGGTCCCTGGCACGCTCCCTCCAGGACTCCTCTGGTTACCTGTCCCATCCAAGCACCACTTCCCAAACTGGAGACCCTGTCTGGAGAAGAGAACAAACCTCTGAATGGAGCATGTGTGCCAGGAGCAGCAGTGATGGCTGGCAGAGGGTTGTCGTGCCAGCACTGGTGGGTGGGAATGAGGCCAGGGGGGAGAGTGGCTCGGAGAAGCCCAGCTGTAGCCAGAAGGGAAATGGGGCCCTTAGAGCTTGACGAGAGGAAGTGCACTGGACAAGGACCTTGGCTGGCTGGAAAGTTTGGGCTAAGTTCAAAATCAATAGCAGGTCAAATACACCCCAATCAATCAAGCATCTCTTCCAGGGCCATGGAAATGCCCGTGATCCCATGTTCTCCAAGGGCCAGCTGAGCCGCCTGGGAGAGTGGGATAGGAGGGCGGCGGTGGTGCTACCGGACCTTGTGAAGTCTTGCCGTGGGGACTAGTGGGAGCCCCTTGATGGCTTAACTACAAAAGCCCACAACCGCCCTCTGGGGGATGCCATTTTCAGTTCCTTCCCTGAGGGTGGGCTCCTGGGGTGGGGTGCGGCGGCTGAAGTGCTTGACCTGGGCCCTCACCCTTTGCCTGGCTCTGCTGACCCTTGAGCGAGCACTGGGGGAGCCACAGCCACCTGCCCTGGGCCAGGCAGCAGGCCAGGCTCATCGCCACCTGCATCTCCCTCAGGACAGGCAGGGAGGAAGGAGCTGTCACCCCAGGGTGGAGGCAGAGGTGTCTGCCTGTGGGATTGGGCCTGCTGCACAAGCCCTCTGCTTTTAGCCTGGAGTGGCTCCGAGTGAGTCCGCTTGAGAACAGGCTCTTCCTGGCCGTTCCCTCCCACTGCTTAGGAGCCCGTGCTCTTGACCTCTAAGAGAACTGCCATTTGGCCATTGGATTCAGTTTCCAAAATGTGGCTGTCTGCCGTGATCTCCTTGTCCTCATGCTGAAAAGAATTAAAATCCCTTTACTGCCATTTTAGTGGGAACTTGGGAGGCCGCAGGGGTTCATGGCTGGGTTCCGCCCACAGTCCTTCCTGAGTCACGACCCACATGCCATGGGTGATGTGATGCTGACTCACTGACCCCAGGCCTTCACCTTCCCAGGCTCACAGGGAGGCAGACGGCCAGTGAAACAAAGGCACAGAGAAGGAGAGGATCCAGCAGGGCTGAGGGAAGGGGTGCAGGGAGAGAAGGCTATGGTGGGGGTTGGTCGGGCAGCTGCCACTGAAGAGGACATTTCAGCTGAGACGTGAAGATAAGATGAGACACTCATGCTGAAACCTGAGGGGAGGTGGAGCTGGCAGGTGGACACAGCACTCAGCAGCCATGGCAGGTGCAATGCGGGAGGCGCAAGGGGGCGGGTGTGTTCAAAGGACAGCAAGGCGACCACCAGGCAGAACCACTGTCGGGGGAGGCAGGGTAGGAGCCAGGCAGGAGCGCTCAGATGCCAGGGCACATGGACTGCGGGACACAGGAGGGGGAGAACCGAGCTCTTTCTGGGTGATGTGTGGGGTCTCATTTCACCCCTAGACTGCCCCTTCCAGGGTGCTCAGGGAGGCTACCAAGGCTCTTTATAAAGGCATGAAATTGGAACAGGAAGACTTTGAGCCAAGCAAGCCCTCTGAGCTTAGCTCACCAGAGGCTGGAGGAACCCCCCACCGCTGTCTCCCCAGGCCCAGGCCTCAAGGGGAGATGCCTCAGACATGAGGCCCCTGACCCATCCAGACACTGCGTCTCCATGTGGGGCCATGAGAGACCACATCCCTCAGCCTAAACTTGGAGAGCCCCTTGCAATTTAAGATACACTGTCCCTCTTTCTGACTCGTCTTTCTTCTTAACTCTGCTTATCTTCTTCCCAGCTGTCAGTTTTCTACCCTCCAGAATGTAACACTTCATGGCCAGGCACGGTGGCTTGTGCCTGCAATCCCAGCTACTTGTGAGGCTGAGGTGGGAGGACTGCTTGAGGCCAGCACTTTGTGTGTGTGTGTGTGTGTGTGTGTGTGTGTGTGTGTGTGTGACAGAGTCTCACTCTCTTGCCCCGGCTGGAGTGCAGTGGTGTGATCTTGGCTCGCTGCAGCCTCCACCTCCTGGGTTCAAGTGATTTTCCTGCCTTAGCCACCCGAGTAGCTGGGATTACAGGTGCACACTACCACACCTGGCTAATTTTTGTATTTTTAGTAGAGATAGGGTTTTGCCATGTTGGCCAGGCTGGTCTTGTACTCCTGACCTCAGGTGATCCACTCGCCTTGGCCTCCCACCGTGCTGGGATTACAGGTGTAAGCCACTGTGCCCAGCCGAGGCCAGCAGTTTTGAGACCAGCCTGGGCAATATAGCAAGACCTTGTCTCATAAAAAAAACACCGCTTAAAAAAAAAAAAAAAAAAGGATTACCTATATAGGGCAAGAGAACAGCAGACACATTAAAAGCCATCCTAGAAGCTGGATGCTAAGGGAGCAGTGCTTTCCTCGAGATTGATAGTACCAGCTAAGCTCTTAGCCAAGAGGAGAGAAAAAAATAAAGATATTTCCAGGCAAAGATGGAGAGTGTCTACCACTACCAAGCTCTTGTGGAGAAGAGTGCTCAAGGATGTGGCCCAGCAAGAAGAAAACTGAACTCAAAAGAGGAGTGAGATGCCAGGAGAAATGGTGAGCAAAGGAGCTGAAAACCATGAAGGCAAAGTTGCTCAAGCACTGGCTGAATGCTGCAGTAAAAACAATGGTGGCCAATTGGTTTAAAACACAGAGGGGGCGGGGGTTCAGGGAAGGTGGTGGCAGAGTGTGTGAATTTCCCTGAATCCCCGTGTAAAGATGGAGTATCTAGATAGCAAAACTGTAAACCCAATAGACAATATGAGGCGAGGAGATATCCCGCAAACCCCCCATGATCTGAAGAATGCAAATGGGTGGGGACAAGTCCTGTGCCACAGCCTGGCACAGCATCTGCCTTGGTGCTGCAGGATGCAAAGGGAAGCAAGGGGACAGCAGAGGAACCTGGGGCACAGCAGGTGGGCCTGGGATACAGCAGCAGGGCACTCCCTGGGAGGCACGGTGACCCTCCCATGAAGCTGGGAGGCCACCCCATGCAGAAACAGATGATTGCAGGGCTCCTCAGTGGCTCCCAAAGGGGCTGGAGCGCTCTCTACACCCACCCTCCTGGGCCGCTGTCTGGGGCGGGGACCCATGTTGCAGAGAAACTGCTGGGAGTAGAAGGGGACCGACCAGGACAGGCAAAGAAAGGACAGGCAAGATCCAGATTCTCATGAGGAAAGTGAGAGCCCAAAATCCCCGAGGCCAGGTCCACGCTTTTGAACCTCAAATGAAAACAACGCCTGTGGGAGCTCTTGTGAGTAGAAAAGCTATCCTGAGCCCCGCCTCCTTCCAGAAGTGTGGGAAAGTGAGTTTGGGCTGCAATGAAGAATTTGCACCGTAATGGATTGAAATCCTGGGTGGAGGGACAGGCAAAGCATCAGGAGAGCATGAGCAGGGCTCGGAACAAGAGCAGGGAACGCAGGCTGGGGCTGCGGAGAAGGAACCGCGTCACAGGGACGGAGGCACTGCGTAGCCCGGGCACGGGGTAATTATTCTGCGGGGAGCAGGTCTGTGCAGACCCACCCCCAAAGGCTGAGGGAGCCCAAAGAAAGAGGCTGACAAAGTCAGTTTCTCAGAAATAATTAATTAATTATAATAATTATGTTTTTAGAGACAGGATCTCGCTCTGTCCCCCAGGCTGGAGTGCAGTGGTGCAATCAGCTAACTCAGCCTCGACCTCCTGGGCTCAGGCAATCTTCCCGCCTCAGCTGCCTGAGTAGCTGGGACTACAGGCATGTGCCACCACGCCTGGCTCATCCTTAAATTTTTTTGTGTGCAGACAGCGTCTGGCTATGCGGCTCAGGCTGGTCTTGAGCTCCTGGCTTCAAGCAATCCTCCCACCTCAGCCTCTCAAAGCGTTGAGAGTACAGGTGTGGGCCAGGTGCAAAAATAACGGGAACTTACGAACAGAAACAGGGACTTACGAACGGACGGCAATGAGACAGTGGATCCCCATACCTGCCTTCCAGAAAGTAACCTTTATCAGGCAGGCGTTTAAGGTAAAGACATGGGCAGCTGACCATGAGACTTTCTTGCCAAAACTTGTGGCCGGGGGGAGGTTAGATAAGCATCTTTGGGAG